TTCTCCCAAAAATGTTCTCATCCTTTGTGGAAAAATACAGAATTCTATGTTCGACTCCCCTTCAAGAAAAATGAGGATATAAATCCTACAAAGGCAAGTCATTCGGGAATAAACCCAGAGCATTTGGCTCTTGCTCAAAAAGAATGCTCAGAATTGTTGCAACAAGGCCTTATTGAAACTTCAAACTCTCAATGGGCTTGTGAAGCTTTTTATGTCAATAAACGTGCTGAGCAAAATCGAGGAAAAATGAGATTGGTTATCAATTACCAACCTCTTAATCTTTTCCTCCAAAATGACAAATTCCCTTTGCCTTCTCGAAATTCCCTTTTTGCGGAAATCACTAAAGCCCATATTTATTCAAAGTTTGATCTCAAAGCCGGATTCTGGCAATTGGGCATTCATCCTGATGACAGACCAAAGACGGGATTCTATATCCCCAACCAACACTTTCAATGGCGAGTTCTTCCATTTGGTCTCAAGGTTGCTCCTTCCTTATTCCAAAAGGCTATGTGTCGCATATTCCAGCCGATCCTATCCAGTGCAGCTGTCGATATTGACGACATATTGCTCTATAGCCCAGACGAAGAATCTCACTGTCGACTTCTTGAGCAGTTTGCAGAAATTGTGAAGAAACATGGCATCATGCTTTCTCAGAAAAAGATGACCATTGCCCAGACAGAAGTTGAATTTCTTGGCATGCACCTTAACAAAGGTACATATTATCCAGGACCGCACATTGCCAGGGAATTACTTAAATTTCCTGAAAAGAATTTTACAACCCAGCAAGTTCAACAATTTCTCGGGATAATCAATTATCTTAGAGATTTTGTTCCAAATATTGCAAGGTTGTTAATTCATTTGCAACTGATGTTAAAAAAGCATCCAGTGCCATGGGGAAAGGCACAAACTAAAGCAGTTGCGGAACTCAAAGAAATTATGCAAGATCTTCCCCCTCTGCAAATTCCATCCACGGGCAAGAGAATCTTGCAGACTGATGCCAGTGATGAATATTGGGCGGTCATATTATTCGAAGAACTTCATGGTAAGCGATATCTTTGCGCTTACAAAAGTGGCAAGTTTTCTCAGGCAGAAATGCATTATCATTCTACCTTCAAGGAAATTTTGGCAGTAAAGAATGGAATAAAAAAGTTTGAATTTCATCTTATTGGCCACCATTTTCTGGTAGAACTGGATATGGCTTCTTTTCCCCAAATGACCAAATTCAAGCAGAAGCAGATCCCTCATCCTCAGCTACTTAAATGGGCTGAATGGTTTTCGAAATACTCTTTCGAAACCAAACACATTGCGGGGAAAGAAAAATGTGCTTGCGACTTTCTCTCCGGACCAAAAGCATCGGCGAGAAATCAACATGTATATTCTCGAGCATTCCTTCCCGTTCAGGCGGACAAGTACAAGATTGAACGGTTCCGAGATTGGCCAAGCCTGGAATATCCTCAAGAAATAATTGAGCAAATTCAAAAGGATAAGCTCATTGAAAATCTTGACAATCTCATGTGGCAATGCCACACAGACCTTTTTCGCCACCATGGAGGATCTATTCTTGACTCTTCTGGATTACACTCGAGGTACCCTTTCATCCACCCATTACTTTGGAGAAAAAATGATTTTCCTGACAAACTTAAATGGCTATTATGGTATCTAACCAACAAGTACGTAATAGCTATTGAGTTTCCCACCAGAAAATTTATTCTCCAATTGACCAACTTGCTTCTGGCTGATTACGTTCAACTAAATGAACACGAGAAAAATCTTTTAACTGTACTCAAATAGTTTTACCCTCCTGTTTATTGGAAACGACTCTTTCTCGAAGAAGTGAAAAAAGCCCGAGATGATCCAGAAATACACACTGTTGTACTCTTCCACCGTCCTTGAACTTTTGTGCATAATAATGGTACCATTTCCAATACTCCCACCGCAGTAGGTACTACTACCTACAAGCCTCGATCCACAACTCCAGGTTGCACGTGTCTATAAATCGTTCCCGATCGCATTGGTTCCGTTGAATATAATTACGAGGAACTCCAAAGGATCCTATGCCAAGAAAATCGCATTATTCCAGAAGAAGCATGGGATTACTTCACACCCATCTCATGGGATCACGAAGGATCTTCCTCTACAACAAGACAAGCACTCAGAGAATACGAGCACGAACAAGCACAGGCACAGCTTGGATTATCACAAGATCACGAAATGTCAGATATAGGAGATCCAGCACAGTCATCTCAAGATCCGGTGCAGTCATCTCAGGATCCATGGGGTGGACCACTCTCTCAAGACCCCTATGACTATAGACCATTGTCCTTATCCGTTGGACTTGATGCTAGCTCTTCCTCTCACTACACACAACTAGGAAATTGGCCTCGGCCAGTTTTACCTGAACCAAATCCACAACCAAGCCTTGGCATCAGAATGTGGAATGACCTCCTGTTCCCACAAAACACTCCAAATACTGCTTTTCCAGACCTTTCGACACATGCATCCTCTTCCTCGAACCCAACGCCAGTCATCACTGAAGATAATTTCGAACACATTCTGACACAGAGACAGATAGCAGAATACGAACGTGCAAACAGTTCAGACAGCTCGGATTATGACTATAACTCTGGATGGAGATAAGCTTGTACTATTCCACCTAACCGGCATCATTCTAGCATATCATAGCCGGGTCCTGTTTCACCTATGAATAGGCTTTAAGTGTTCTACGAGTGTGTTGTAGGTGTGCCAAATAATGTACTTAGTTTAGGTGAGTTTTGTTTTATGTGGACAGAAGTCCAATAAAGTACTCGTTCTAAGTGTGTTTTGTCTTATTTGGACCGTCGTCCAGCATGTATTCCCCAACGCCTATATAAGGCCATGTAATCCTTCGGTTTGGAATAAGAGGGAAAGTTGTGAAATCTAGATCCCTTCACTTTCCATGCCTTTCTAAAAATCTCTTTCTTCAAAGCCTGGCATGATCCTCTAAGAAATGCAGCTCGGCCAGTTGGGCATAATATCATCCTGGTCACTCTGAGCGTCTCTATGCTCTGAGCTAAATCTCCGGATAGTTTTGCAGCTAAAAGGCAGTTCCTGAAGGGCTTGAACAAGAGGTTCGCCCATGTGGAATAGCATACCTGCTGTAAGCTGACCTGGTTTTCCCTGGCTCTCAGCATAGCATACTTGTTTTAGATTTGGATCAGCTCTAGGCCTAGTAAGAGTTTTTTAGATTTGCGCTCTCCTGTAATGGCGATCTCTCTGCTGGTCTAGGTGCCTTTTTGAAGAGAACAATATTTTCTTTCGAAATATTCTCGTCTTTTGAGCTCAAGAAGATCAAGCAGGATTTCCTATGAAATATAGGTAAATGATTCCAACGGCTTGGGAAAAGTCTTGCAGAAGAAGAAAAGTCATCGATGCATTTGGAAGTCGATTGCCACCGGTGTTTAAGGCTTCCAGTAAACCTTGTAGCAAATTCTAGAAGAACATCATATTGCTTCAACATCAGCAAATTTAAGGGGTAAAATTTGACGAAAGATAGTGAGGTAAATTTGTTAGAGGCGTACTTAGTTTAGAGTTTTTGGTGGTAAAAAATTTAATTTGAGGTTTTTGCCATTTGGAATAAGGAATGTCATCAAGAGTGAAAAGCTGTTTGGATGGGGACACAGAAATATGAGATGGGTTATTGATTTGGATAACCTCTGGTTCAGATGGAGAGATTGTCTTTTTATGAGAAAGTCTGCAAGCACATGGTCTGGAGAGAAAGTCTGCATGACCATGGGATTTGGTTCCATTTCATTACCCACAATCGTTTGGTGCACGCCAAAATTTCTTTTTATTAATAATATTTTTAAATATTTTAATATTTCTTTCTTTTTTTTTCTTTTCTTTTTTTTCTTTTCCTCCTTCTTGGCCATAGCATGCTCGCCGGCCATGACCGGAAAAAATATTTTTTTATTAATAATATTTTTATTAATAATATTTTTATTAAAAGTATTTTTTTCTTTTTTTTTTGCCATGGCACTAGTCGCCAAAATGACCTAATTGGTAAAATATTTTTTTATTAATAATATTTTTTATTAAAATATTTTTATTAAAAATATATATTTTTATTTTTTTGCCATGGCCAGTTGCTGTGTAGCCATAGTCAAAATATTTTTTTATTAAAAATATTTTTATTAAAATATTTTATTAAAAATATACATTTTTATTTTTTGGGCCATGGCCGGTAAAATATTTTTTTATTAAAATTTTTTATTAAAAAATATATTTTTATTTTTTAGTAGCCATCTTGAATCATGGACATGCTTGGTAAAATATTTTTATTAAAATTTTTTTATTAAAAATATATTTTTTTCTTTTTTTGGCCATGGCGATCGCAGCCATGGCCTGTAAAATATTTTTTTTATTAATAATTTTTTATTAAAATTTTTATTAAAAATATACATTTTTATTTTTTAGCTATGGCCTGTCATTTGTGGCCAGGTAAAATATTTTTATTAATAATATTTTTTATTAAAAATATATATGTTTTCTTTTTTTTGCCATGGCACAGTCACCGTAGCCATGGCGGAATATTTTTTTATTAATAATATTTTTATTAAAAATATACATTTTTATTTTTTGTGGTTCCTGCCAGAAAATATTTTTTTATTAATAATATTTTTTATTAAAAATATATATTTTTTTTTTTTTTGCCATTGTCACCGATATGGAAAATATTTTTTTATTAATAATATTTTTATTAAAATATTTTTATTAAAAATATATATTTTTCTTTTTATGGCCATGAATTTGTATACTTAAAAATATTTTTATTAATAATATATTTTTATTAAAATATTTTATTCCGTCGAGTCCGAGGCGGTCTCGTGGACAGATTAAAACAAGAAAGGAAGAAGAAAAAAAAATTGATTTAAAAATGTTCAGTATCACTCTTATTTATAATACCTTTGTCACATATGGATGTCATTCGATATATGTGATAATGTTTGCTAACCCGGCGTTTTGATACCGCTAAACATGTCTCCATCAGCACGGCCATTTCAGAAGCGCCGTCCGCCGCCAGGAGATGCTCGCTCTTCCGCACAGAGGTCCTGTTCAGACCACCGTCAACATCTCCAACTTCTTCTTCTCCTTCACCACCTCCTCTTCCCTCCCCCACCAGATCCTAACCGCCGCCGCACCGCCGCCGCCGGCACCACCGCCGGCGCCACCGCCGCCACCTCCTCCTCCTCCTCCACTCGACGCCTCCATCGCCGCCTCAATCCTCGCCTCCACCCCTCAAACCCTGCCCCGAATCCTCCAAAGCCCGCGCATCCGATGGACGCCGGACCTTGTCGACAAGACCCTGAAGCGCCTCTGGAACCACGCCCCAAAGGCCCTGGCTTTCTTCGCCCAGCTCTCCCGCCACCCCACCTACGCCCACTCCGCCTCCTCCTTCGACCACGCCATCGACCTCGCCGCGCGCGCCCGCGACTACCGTGCCGCGTGGGCCTTCGTCGCCCGGATGCGGTCCCTCCGCCTCGGCCCCTCCCCGAAGACGCTCGCGATCATCGCCGAGAGGTACGTGGCCGCCGGCAAACCGGATAGAGCTGTTAAGGTGTTCTTGTCGATGCACGAGCACGGCTGCCGGCAGGACTTGAGTTCCTTTAATACCGTTCTTGATATACTGTGCAAGTCTAGGCATGTGGAGATGGCTAGCAACAAGCTGTTCAAGGTTTTCCGGGGCAGGTTTAAGGCTGATTGTGTTAGTTATAACATAATTGCAAATGGGTGGTGTTTGATCAAACGGACGCCTATGGCTTTGGAGGTGTTGAAGGAGATGGTGGATAGGGGGTTGAACCCGAGTTCGACGACTTATAATATAATGCTTAAGGGGTTCTTTAGGGCTGGCCAGGTCGATGAAGCTTGGCAATTCTTTCTGCAGATGAAGAAGAGGAAGTGTGATATCAATGTCGTCACGTATACCACGGTGATCCATGGTTTCGGCATCGTTGGTGAGATTAAGAAAGCTAAGAGGGTGTTTGATGAGATGGCTACAGAGGGAATTCTTCCTTCTGTTGCGACTTATAATGCCATGATTCAGGTTCTCTGTAAGAAAGATAATGTGGAAAATGCAATTTTGGTTTTCGAAGAAATGTTGAGGAAGGGTTACGTACCCAACTCGATCACTTACAATTTGGTGATTAGGGGATTGTGTCATGCAGGGCATATGGACAGGGCTGTGGAATATATGTCGAGAATGGAGGCCGATGGTTGCGAAGCTAATGTACAGACATACAATATCATAATTCGTTACTTTTGTGATGCTGGAGAAATAGAGAATGGCATGCACCTGTTTGAGAAAATGGGAAGCGGAGTTTGCTTGCCAAATTTGGACACGTACAACATACTTATCAGTTCCATGTTTGTCAGGAAGAAATCGGATGATTTGGTGCTGGCAGGGAAATTGTTGATTGAGATGGTTGACAGAGGATTTATGCCAAGAAAATTTACTTTCAACAGGGTCTTGGATGGGCTTTTACTTACTGGAAACCAAGGTTTTGCAAAGGAGATACTTAGAGTGCAAAGCAAGTCTGGTCGTCTTCCTCGTCGTTTCAAGTTGTAGTTGGAGGTCTTTCTCTGTTGATCTATACTGGACCTGCCGACGAGATTCATCCCTTTTTCTCAGCTTGAGTTTCAGCTTTTCAGATTTTGCACAATATATCAGCTAGCAACAAACTTCCGGGGGGATAGGGTTTGCCATTGTAAGCACCTACAGATGTAACAGGTACTCTTTCAACTTTTTTTTTTTATTTTGAGGTTGTCTTGGTGACCCAGTAGTCAGAATGAGATAGATGATAGATGCTGTCCTGATTATACTTCTCCAGTTGGAATTTGGATGATTTTATGAAAATATCGACGAGGAGCTTGGCAGAAAGAAATCTTGGGACTAGAGTACTGCTGGATATTGAAACTTTGATCCTGTCTAATTGTTGCTTGATATTGAGCAGTAGACAAGGAAGAGAGGCTGCTGGAATCTGCAGCACTTCTGATGTCTTTAGAGCCATTTTTTTTTTTTTGCAGTAATATAAGTGAGTTAGGCACATGCTTTTGGTACTTTTCATTCTTGCAGAGACGCACTGCTTGTTCTTTAGGTGCTTTATGTCTGTTCTTTTGTTGTATTTTCAGGTGACATTGTCATTTATTCATTCACATGGAGGTCGGTTTGATATCCCTTGATAAGGCTGCAAGGCTTTTAAGGGTGATTGACCGCTTGAACTGTTTATCAAGGAGAACCCAGAAATCCCTATTTTGAGTTCTCTTTGAATGAATCTGCTGCAGCTTAAAATAGTTTATGTTCCCCTCCTCCATGAATGTCATTGGGAAGGTGTTGCTTTCATCGATGGAAGTGATGTTCATTTAGTTTTACGTCGGTGATTTTTCTTCTAAGCCAGTTTATCTTGTTTATCAGGGTTCACCATGCTATAGAAGTCCAGCTTCAGGTGTTTGCTGATGTGTGGTAAATTTAGGAGCAAATCTTTCACTGCTTCTTTAAGATTAACAGGCTGAAATTTGGGAAGGAAGCAAGTGATTGGCTCAAGAGGTGTTCTGTGGCTACTCGCCTGACCTTGAAAAGAGGACTGAAAGCAATTGAAGCTGGAATGAGAAGGATGAGATTCGGGTATGCACTTGGATGATGCAAATATAGGGCAATCATCAGCTTCGCTCCAGCTTTTGTTTTTCTTCTTATCGTCACTGAACGTGTTGTTGCTTCTGAGGCTTGAGAAATGGCAAAAACACAAATTAAGTACCGGGATCATTTTCTCTTAGATGTGCATTCAGAATCCAAGTTTAAATAAAGTTCGCCAATTCTGGGTACTTCGATGCAGATGTTCTTACACAGCGAATTATTTCTGGCTGATGCACCTCTACAAAGATGGCTTATGGTGTCTATTTGGTAAATTATGCAGGAATTCCTTGTATCGAAAACATTGCCCATCGGATGGACAGCATTATTGTAACTCCCTGAAATGACTCCCCACAGAATTTCGATAATTCTCGCCTCTATTATCTTTTTTCACGTACTGCAGTGCTAAAAGCACATACGTTAGCGAGATAAGCCTCGGATACGTGCATGAAGAAAATGTAAGCATGCAGTAGATGGGCATCGAACTAGCTTTACCCGGTACATCAAGCAACAGCACATATCAAATTCTGAGGAGTCAGCCATCCAGCAGAGCTCTGGCTTAATAATGGCAATGTGAGGAAGTAGCAACGACTATGCATCAATATGGTCTTCATATAGCATTTGCACAAGCCTTTTGTAAATCAAGTCCAATGCCAAAACGTTAAATGCTAACGAGTAGAAACAAAATGAGAAACGACATCCGCAATCTCGTTCGATATTTTTTCCTGTCCATTGTAAAGTCTCTACACAATGTCCGTTCCTTATTTTTAGTAGTTGGTACAAGGACAACATCCCGAGCTACCTCAGTAGAGTTCACAGCTTTGAGGGAGCTGTATACCATCCCCAAGGATCACTGGATATGTACTGTGTAACCTGCTTCACGCTTAAATAATTATCCATCCCCCTGCGAAAAAAGGCACCATTATCTTGTCAGTAGGAAGTTATGATCGTCAAATTTTATCTCAGTGCAATGCAAACCTACTGAAATAATGCAGTAAGCAGTTGCAACTTTGCAGAGACTCAATAGTCAAAACTACCATACAAGACAAAAATCATTCGGAGATCAGACGCCCTTTTTTCTACTAGGTCATTTCTCTATTTTCCTTCGAGTTCTGTCATTCATTTGGTCATAGAGAAGCGGACAATACCATTCTCCTAACTCCCGACCAAAACCACTCCGTTTGTTTCCTCCCCAAGGGGCCTGACAGAAGCACGGTTGTGAACAGTTGATCCACACAATACCTGCCTGGAAAGCCTGCAATTCACCACCAAGAGATAACAACAATCAAGTAATCCAACAAAGTAAATAATTTCCATGGACATCTTTTGGTCGGCCGAGGGCGAAATGTTCACATGAATGTGCTTTGAACCTTACTTTGGTCAGGCGCTCACACCTTTCCAAGTCATTCGACAACACAGCAGCACCAAGTCCATAACTGTGAAGCATCGATTGATAGTGAGATTCTCATAATCTCCCAATTTAAAGAAGTCTTCTCAGGCAAGAGTGGAGTAACAATTTAGATTACAATAAATGAGCACATTCCCCACTGTATTCTGAACACTAATAAAAGAATGAATCAAAATCAACTCACTGGGTGTCATTCGCTAATTCAATGGCTTCATCCTCTGTGCCAAATGTTTTAATGCAGAGAACAGGTCCAAAGACTTCCTCTCTCCAAATTTGCATTGATGTAGTGACATCAGTTATGATGGCTGGCTCAAGGAAGAATCCCTTCTTCAAATGCTATCAATTGTTTGTGACGATATACAGAAGTCAGGAAAAGCAATTTCAGAAGTAGAAGGGTTCTTCACGAGAGTACTAAAAGTGACAAGCTAGAGCACTGTACCTCAGGACGATCTCCACCACACAAAATAGTGGCCCCCTCACTCTTAGCCGTGGAGATGAACTTCAGTATTTTCTCATACTGATGCAAAGAAAATGAAATTATCATTTCGACAAATCCAGCTGGCAGATTTGATGCTAAACATTGAAAAGTAAAGAGAACCAATGGTCATTAAAAATCCCAGACTAAAGCTATTTCCCATGATTTCTTCCGAACATATGGCGCTTATGGGAGCAAATATTGCCTTCATTCCATGCGTTACCTCAAAAATGATCATTTGCTCCTCAGCATAGTGAATGAATGGGGCAGACTATGCCAAAGATACAACTGCTGCAATGGCTATGGGAAAGGGCTATACTACTCCCAAAAGTGAAAATAATTGTGTTAGTTATGTATTCTCCTCTAAATCTTAACTACTATTTACGATGGTTGGTACACTGATCCAGGAATTTGTTATGACAAAAAACCCTAAAGAACGCATCTCCACAAATGGGTAAGAGCCGTAAGACAATACTGTACTCATAAACATGCACCGACTGGTAGACTTCAGAACCATACAGTACCAAACCTGCAGGTAATGAAAGATATACCTGCCCCCCACTCACAACTGGTCCAAGCCTGCAACCCTCTTCTAAAGGATCGGATATTTTTATGTTTCTGCTCCATTGAACAAGCTTCTCAATGAACTGAGCAGCAATGCTTTCCTGAAATAATTGTGATATACCAATTAAATATAATGCAAAAATGGTTTGAAAGAGAGCAATCACTTCATAAGATATCATGCGCACCTAGCGGACAATTATAGTCTTCCGACATCCGAAATTTTATTTCATTTAAGGATGACTTTTGCGGGCCTAAAGTTCTCGGTTACTTCTTCACAAATTATAAGCACAGTTTTCTCAATTAAGAGCTTTTCTTGACTCCTTCCATAAGGCTGGCACAGAGGGTCGATTCGACATTAATTCCACCTCCATGTTCTGTGACTCGCAAGATCTAACTACTCAATTCACAACTTCTCTCAATAAATTGACAAAAAGCTCCTAAAACTTCAAATAACAACAAAGAAGATTCTCGCCGTCTTTTCCTTTTCTTTTTCACATTACATATGTGTCTCTAGGTCAAAACATGATATCTCTCATGCTAATTCAGGAATGCAACCAAATGCATGATAAGGTAGAAAGAAGTAAAATCAATCCAGAAGTTTTACCAAGTGCAAGTGCCAGAGGTAGGAAATAAAAGAAACACGTACAAAATGACATTGCAATGCTGAGGTAAAGATAGCATATGATTACAACTTACATGCACGATAAGTCTGGATGTAGCACTACAAATTTGACCATTCGTCCAAAAGCATCCAAAAATTGTCCATTCAGCAGCTGTTTGAATCACAAGTAGTAAGTCCTATTGTCAGTAACATTGCATACATAATCAAGCTTATTCACATAGAAATCACCCAAGAATGAATGTACCGTCGCAACTAATTTCCGAAGGAAAATAGCAGTTATATCAGTCTTATTAAGGGGTATATGCTTCAGAATGCACCAACCTTTATCAAGATCAACATCCTCAAACACAACAATGGGGCTTTTTCCACCAAGTTCCAGCGAAACAGGCTGCGAGGTCATAACACACACATGCCAGAAAGGTTACTCTCACACAAAGATTTTCCTTTGTTGAATTCAACAAAGACGTACAAAATAGCTGCACCTTGACATGTTGAGCAGCGGCAGTCATAATCTTGCTCCCTGTAGCTGAGCTTCCTGTAAATGCAATCTATCGACAAAACCCAAGAGAGTTAGCTGCTGATGTGGGGTAGATACATAGTGATATATGTAAAAAAAATCAATTTGCAGAATGTATCAGAGGAGACTTAACAAAATGTCCAAGTAATAGATGATGGGAGAATACAGACCTTGTCAACTTGCGGATGAGATGCCAAAGGAGCTCCAGCTTCAGGGCCAAGTCCAGTCAGAATATTGAGGACACCAGGAGGAAGACCCACCTCCCTACACACTTCAGCAAGCTCCAAGCATGTCCTGAAGTTTCAAGAACACGCTCAGGTGCATTAAAGAATCTATAAGGAAAATGAGTTAATTGAGTTAATGACGCAAAGTGAAATCAACACATACTCAGATGCCAACTCAGATGGCTTGAGTATCGCGGTGCAACCAGCAGCCAGAGCAGGAGCTACTTTCCAAGTAGCCATCAAAAGAGGGTAGTTCCTTCATTTCATGAGATATATCAAGTCATAAACCAAGACCATTATTATGCTTACTCTATCAAGGAAGGTCGTTGAATGATCAGAGCAAGAATCAGAATCATCATCTCCCAAACAACACAAAAACTTATGTTGCTAACGAAATGGTGAAGTCTAATATGGGCAGATGAAAACGTCACAAAAACCACAGGCCGTCATTTAGTTGCTACAGGCTGATGATAAAGTGCTAATCCAATCCATCATATCTGATGGTTAGAAAGAAAAACTATGATATATCTAGGTGGCACATCTGGTCAGCAAAATAAAGCGCCATTACCATGGAGTAATTAACGCCACGACACCAATTGGTTCCTTGAGAACATAACTCTTAAATGACTCCATAGGAAGAGAGACAGGAGCCTTTTGCTTAGCATCCAAACCTTCAGCAAGATCTGCGTAGTACTCAAAGCAACCGGCTACATCATCCTAGATGGAATTAACAACCGTATCAGTGAATTATGTGGCAACAGAGTACAACGTTGCACAACCCTATAAGTTACAAACGTGACCATGTCCCAGGCTGCTTCTTCCAGAGGCTTTCCACAGTCAATTGCCTCGAGTTTTGCCAGTTCGGACTTTCTCTCCGTGATCTGCATGGCGAAGATGAAAGAAGTTCCCACAGAAAAAAAACGCGTGAGACGACAAAAGAACTTCAGAAAACCATCGCGCGCGACATGCCAAAGCACTTAGTAGAGGCTAAAAGTTTACTGACGCAAGAACTCAGGTGATCCCTAAGCTACAGCACAGAATTCATGGAAATGAGTAGACAATGAGGGGGGCAAGCTCCTGCTTTTCTTTTTAATCAGTAACAATCTCCTACTTCGATACCATAAAGAAATGTAAGGGGACTTAAGTAGCCAGATCAAATATACAGCTTCATATTTAAAATGTTTCAACAATGGCCCCGAGCAACATTCGCAGCCCCGCACCTTAGCAGCAATAGCGCGCAAGTACTTGGCGCGTACAGCCCCCGGTGCCAGCGCCCAGTCACTCCCTTTGTTCCTAGTAAGGGCTCTCCTAGCAGCACCCACAGCAATCTCCACATCTTCAGCAGTGGCAGCCGGTATATGCCCTGCGGACAATCAACAAAGTTCCAAATCTAAGATCCCGATAAAAAGGGAAGGCCCATCGTCAAACAAACATCTACTCAATATTCAAGTTTTACGGTTGAATCACGGTAAAGAGACCACCGTCAACCCACAGAAAAAAAGGTTAAAGCTCAAGCCTTCACAGCGATCGCTGCGCACTCAAAAACACCCTCGTTCGCAAACCACCCGGTTGCGCTGCGGCGCCCTTTCTCGGCACGTTTCACGGAATATGAAGAACGGGATTCAAGCCGCGGGTACACCCCACCACTACTTCGAAGCAAATCGCGTAGCAAGAAGCGGAGAGGGAAAGAGAGAGAGAGAGAGAGAGAGAGAGAGAGAGAGAGAGAGGGAGGGAGGGAAGGAAGGGAAGAGACCGATGGTTTCCTCGGAGGAAGGGTTGATGACGGGGATGCGCTTCTTGAGGACGGGCTCCCTCCACTCGCCGTCGATGAACAGCAGACGGCTCGGAACGCGGATCGCCATGTCTCCCTCCCTTCCGCCTCGGTTGATCTCCAGCTGTCGGTCGCGAGCGTTCGACCGAAATTCGCAACAGAGAGATCGGAGCTGCTGCTCTCGCGTGGGTTTATAGTAAAGTTGGCTCACTGTGATCAGGGGAGCATCTGCTGCGACCAGCTGGACGGTGGGAAGGGGATAAAGGTCGGCGATGCCGTCAGAATCATTTTTTTCAAAATCATTTCTTTTTCCGGAGGGATTCCGTGAAATCGTGAGGAATTATTATTATAGAAGTGAATCGCGCGTGGTATTAAACCGAATCTAAACCGTCGATAATGGGTACGTTTTCCGTGCGATTCATCAGATCTGATCATCCGAATTCGAGTTAATTTCTACATCGTGTGTACGGGAAACAATTTTTTTTTTTCTTTCTAAAATTCGTGATTGGTCGATACTGTTTATTCACTGATCTCTGTCAAAGAGGGGGCCTGTTTTTTTTTTTGGCCCCTTTTTCTTTTGGGTAGGGAGGAAAATTCATTATTCGTTAGTAAAAAAGATATTACTTAGAAGAAGATATCGCTTCACGTTGCGTAAAAAAATATATATAAAACCGGCGATTCATATAAAGAAATTCTTTGTAGAATCGATACCAATTATTGAACTGTCGAGTCCGACTGATGAGTAGAAATGATGTTGTAGACAAAGTTATCGTAAATGATATTATCTCCAAGTTGATTTCCCGTAACGAAACATGAAAATATGAGGAATTATTAGATGGGCGAATCGAGCGTCTTAAACTAAAACTGGATCATCAAAAATGGCAGATTCTTCGAGAGATTCATCAAATCTGATAGTCAAAATTCAATTTAATTTTTATGACCAAAAACAAGTCAATTTAAACTTATATACTAAGTTTATTATATAATTTCTCTAAAATTCATGATTGGTCACTACTATTTATTCACTAGTCCTGTCAAAGGGGTTTTTCCCTATTTTTTGGGAGGAGGGGAGAGAAAATTATTGTCTGTTATGCTATTAAAAAGATATGATTTTACATTGCATAAATATATCTTAACATTAGTGGTTTCTTAATAAAGATTCTTTTCATATGGTAAACATGCTCGATACCAATTATCGATCAATTAATCCTTCCCAGAACATGACATTCTGCCCTCCCTACATGTTTAATAACTTTTTCGAAGACGTTAAATAGTCATTTTACAAAGTTACTCCAAGAGAAGGCATATTTGTGATAAGTTGAACAAAGAGATAATTATTTCATATTTTCTTCAATATGCTTTTTGAACTCTTTTTATTTTTTCAAACTGGACTCTTATAAAATCTCTTTTTTTTCCCGATTTTTCTACTTCATTGTATAAGTTTTCGCGGCCCTTATATTTGAGCATTATTTAGCACGGAGCACTTCAAAACATTTTTAAATATTTCAATATTAACATACAAAATAGCATACCCACTTTTCAAAAATCTACCTAACTTTCCACTTGCCCACTTTGCAGGAAAAAATTCATCAAACAAAAGCAAGAAGCAGAAAATTTATTAAAAGAAAAAAATGCCTCAAACGGGATAGTTTGGTATTTGCATGATGTGCGCCTGGGTAAAGCAAAATACCTTAAACAATATTTACTTTATGCTCATCCCTCACGCCTCTCACTCTCACTTCTCTCGGTCTCAGTCACGCAACGCTCATGCCTCTCCAGCAGCTCAATGCCTCTCAAACTTGGTTCTTGATGATCATTACAGCTTTGTTCGTGGAGAGGATCATCATGTTTAGCATATCACGAGCTTGCTCTATTAACATCGCTCGTATAGTAGTTTAAATTACGCAACATCATTTGCAGCCTTGCAAAGAATAAGAAGAAAAAAAAAATGAGATACGACCGGTTCCTAAACTCACCCGACAATCGGACTGGATTGATCGGTCCGGTTCACGGGTGGGTCCAGAACTAAGCGGGCCCATTTTTCCTATTCCATAAACTGTGAACCGGTCAACCCTGAAACCAATCAACTCTATGCTCGTCAATATGCCTTAAAGAGAGCGTGTTTCATTAGAAGCACTAGAGTGCAAAGTTTCGTTGCTTGGGCAGCTCCGTGATTAATCTCATACGGCTCCAAATCATAAGCTCCAATGAGCTTATGCACTCTCAAGCCCACTTGGAGAGGTTCAGCCCACAACAAAGCTCACGAGTCACATTGTGCCTTCCTCTCGCAATTTCGAGACACTTTTCAATCAGCAAGTCCTAGACGTTTTTGATCCGAGAATTCATGATCTCGATCTCAATGGGTCCCCCCTTTTTGTTTTTTTCAGAGCACTTTGGCATCCGATTGATGTTGAATTCAGTGGGAGCCGCGTGGACCTCATCGATCTAGAGATGATACGATGATTCATTGACCCTTGTGTCGAGTGTATGGAACGGACCTCGCAATTAAGGCGATAATGCATTTGGTAGCCCGAACCCCCCGATGAGCAGCAGATCCGAACAGATTGTTTCCTTCTTGGGTCGACTAGAGCTGATCGTTTTCCTCGTCATGTGAATAGGTATACGTTCGTATACATGTAAACCTTGGAAAGGTCCTTTCCACGAAGTTTGATACGTGCAAGCAAAGAACAGAACTTCGAAAACGATATGCTGCATCGTGTCGTCTACCCTCGACATGATGAATGGCTAGGCTTCAGCCCAAACAACATGAACACGAACACGAACAAGCATGCATGATGCATCCTGTGTATTTACGTGGGAGATGGAATGCTAATTCCCTTCTCTGGTCTGAATCTCACGATCCTATGGAGATTAAAATCGTGAACGTTCAGTTCTTCTCGAAAGAAGGATCAGGTCAATAAAGACCCGTGTAACCATTTCCTTCCGTGCGCGCTTCATTTGCATGAGATCTGCCAAAAACTAGAGTTCCAAAGCATGCGAGCAAATCCATCTTTGAACATGGATTACGTTACTCTCTGCCGGATGATATTGAGAGATACCATGCGCATCATCTGATGATCGGTCAGCGGCGCTTCGGAGAAGACGCGAACCGATTCTATCGGTAGGAAACTCGTGATATGAATTCAAAGAAAGGAAACTCTAATCCACTAAGAAATCCAAAGAGGTAAAATGATCGTCAAGCCGTATCATACAAAGGTCACACATGCGAAGGGCGCATATGTCTTCTATTATACAGATGAAGGAAAGAATCGGAAGAACCAAAAAGAGGAAAAAAAAAAAAAACTGTCACATGTTCTCCAGAGAGACGGAACTAAGCCAATGTTCAGTTCTTTTGGGTGGTCTTGTGGTACTTGTCCTTGATCCACTGGATGCCGACGGTGGTTCCTTCCTTGACCTTCTTGACGCCGTGCGATGCCGCGGTCTTGGTCTTGACGAGGCCTACCCCCATCTTCTCCTTGTACTTGGCCGCCGCGAGGCCCTTCTTCTTGTCGCTCTCCGCCGGAGCCGGATCGGGGTTGTAGTCCCACTGGTCCGCCCACGACGTGCCGTGCGAGTCGCGTCCGTCCATGGCTCGACAAAAAAAATCCTCTCCGGACTCTCCCACAAAAACTTTTCTCGGGGGCTGGGATTTGGCCTTGGTTCGGTGGAATGAGAATGAGATAGGTGAGGATTGGTTATAGGCTGAACAATGCATTTTATAAGGGAGTAAGAGTCCTACAAGCTACAGCCTCCGAGAAACGAATGAAGTCTCCCTCCCCTGAGAGAGTTTTGCGTCAAAAAGTGGAAACTCCACGCGCGTGGCCGAGAAGGAAGGAAGTCAACAAACGCATGCCCCCCCTCCTCTTCTCCTCTTCTTCTCTTCTTCCTCCCTCCCTCCCACCTTCCATCATCTAACGCCACCACAGGAAACAACAACGTAGGTGCTTTCCTAGTTGTCCAAGAAAGGGCATATGACGTCTGGCGGGAGTAAAATTTTCTTCATTGGAAAAGTCAAATTATGCTCTCTCTCTCTCACGACGTAATGGGAGCTGTTTCCCTCTTTCTGAATTGGAAGTTGGCGGGTTGTCTGAAGCAGATTCCCCTGGATCTGAACCAAGTAAAAAGGCCCTGGGAGGCGTTGTTTTTTCAATTGGATGAGATGAACGTGAACCGTGTGCTGTTGCATCAGCATCTGGAACCATCCAGAGACCTTTGACTAAAGACCCGATTATGCTATAAGAAAAACAATTCAGCTGTAGGGTAGGGGTGGTGCAAGGCGGCTACTGAACGGAATAACTATTGCAAAGGGATAATGGGCAAAATTGTTTAAAAAGTCTTAAACTTATTGTACTTTTGTCAATTCAGTTTTAAATCTTTTAAGTTTATCAATTGAGTCCTAAACATTTACACATCTTATCAATTGAGTCATAAACCTTTACACTTCTTGCCAATTATTAATTTTGGCCGGAAATCACTGACGTGGACGCCGGTCGGCCACGTGGCGCTGACGTGGACATTTTTAAATAATTTTTTGAATTTTTTATGGTTTTTTTCTCTCTTTTTTTCCTTTTCTCTGTTTTTTTTGTGGGGTTTTAGAGTTGGCCGGCCAGACGCCGGCGATTTCCGGTTGAAATTGACCGAATGGACTCAATTGACAAGAAGTGTAATGGTTTAGAACTCAATTGGCAAAAGTGCAATAGGTTTAAGACTCTTTTGACAATTTTCTCAAAGATAATGACAAGTCTTGGGACTTTAATAAAAGCCTCTGTATTCAAGAATTTGTTGGTACCACACCCACGTTACTCGGACCTAAGCAGGTCCCTTAAAAAGCTCTATATTAGTTCTCGTTCGGATCTCGAAATCACCGGGATGTATAACTTAAAAGTGTATTCTCTCTCCTAAGGGAAGACAAAGATATAGGGGGAATTGAGAAATGCATCTGTGGAGCCCGCCATTATTGTATATCAAACGAGCATGCCGCAAAGGCTCCTGTAGGAGCTTTGGCTCATCTTCTATGGTGAGGTTAATTCTTAATCAAATACAGAGAATTCACGGAAGATCCCTAATTAAGAGATTGGGCGGCTACTGAACAGAATACCTAATGCAAGGATAATGACAAGTCTTGGGACTTTGATAAGAGCCTCGGTATTCAAAGAATTTATTGGTACCACACGCACAATACTGAAAATATATCTTGATGGCTGTTTGCACGTACCTTTGAGGCAGCTGCTGTGCTGAAAGAGACCCAGATGCCGCAGTTTACAGAAACGGAATTTTTCGTTGTCGTTCACCTGAAATTTCAAAGTTCATTTAGGAATCCCTTGTCAAAAGTATACATGATTGGTCATGTCGGAGTCATTTGGACTAAAAGGACATCGTGCGCAATACTTTCGCCTTCATCTTACGAGCAGATCGTTTCTTCTCTTATAAGGAAAGGAAGGCAAATGACCACTGTAAACAGTTTGCTAGTGTGAGTTCCGCTTGCATATAAGGCACAGCCAGGCAAGAATTTCACTATATCTTTGGTCCCAAGGACATACTTGTAAGAGCTCCGTTACATCTTATCATTCACGACAAAGAGAAGAAGAGATGCCAGATGAACTTTGCATTTAGTTAACAAAGAGACTGCTGCAGACAGGTAGAACCTGATTACAAGCTACGTAACACCACATAAGCTACACAACACCGAATACCATGAATGATATTGTAATTAGCAATTCACAGTCGATCCTCCGAGGCCTTATTTGGTACTCTGCTCAGCTGTCTCAGCTACTGATCATATGTGCCGGGATCTCTCAAGTATTTGTCACATAGCCATTGCGATATGTGAAAAGCGTGACCCACGCTCTCCGTTGGGAACAGGTTTCTGCTGTTTTGCCAATCATTTGTAAGCTTTACCCACTCCCTCCTCCATTCTTTCAACCGGAAATCGTGGCCCTCCTCCAAACTCTCTCTTAGAAATTTGAAATAAAGAGCTGCTCGTGGACCATAGTAATCTCTGAGCAGTCCGCTCCAATATTTGTTTCCTAAACAAAAGGAAAGGAAGATCATTCACCTGAAAGTTATGCTCTCTCTCTCTCTCTCTCTGCAGATGAATTTCATAGCTATCCAGGATTGAAGTACAATATGTGGTAAGAAAATAATGGAGATCAAAAGCATGGAGTTCTTAAAAGTGTATAATAGATGTGACGCAACGATGTCCACACTATTGTGAATATAATAACTTTCACCGATGGAAACCAGTTACTTCCAAGGATTGTATATTCCATGCAAGCTTTAGAAGAAACAGATGCAAAAGGTTAAAATTCTTTACCATAATCACGCAGTAGACTTGCTTCCTCCACTGAGTTATCAAACCACATTGTTATCTGCGTCCTTGCATTCCATTCAAACTGTCGAAGTATCACTTTGCAGATGTTAAATTTCCAAACAATTCTAAAACTGATTGAACAGTGACTGAAAGCCTCCATACCTGTCTTTCCTGTTCTTTATCTTGGGCAAGTTGCTTAGCACTTTCTAACCAAGGTCCCAGAAGAAATCCTTCATGACAAGCCAAGAGCGTGTCCATGTCCTCAACAAGATTCAGGAATTTCTGGCTATGGAAAGCAACTCCATAAGCATCTTGTCGCTGGTAGTCTTCTATGACTTTCAAAAATAGCTCATTTGCATACTTTGCCAGAGCTTGTCTCGTTAGATCGACCAGATCATACCTATAAATGAAATTGGAAGCAAATAAGTTGCAGATTATCAAGACAAAAAAATGATGATAGAAGCATGCATTAACAGAAGTGAAGACTTGCGACTGTCTATCAACATAGCAGAAAAAAACTCCAAAAAACATTTGATTTGACATAGATTGAAGCATGGAACCTGTAAGTATCGCTAGATTGTAGTTGATCGCCACCTGCAAGGAAAAGTTCGAGCGCTCGTACCACTTCGGATGTCGAGTACCACATATGAGGATGATCGGTCAAACCAGTTTCTTCATTCAGCACTGCTCTTCTCAACAGTGGCTTGCCATAGTGATGATACCTCAGTTGTGAGAATGAAATTGAAGAAGGATCAGCATCAGGGAAAGCCACAATGACGTCCCTGTTCTTGTCCTGCATCAATGAAACAAAAAAGTCACTGGACAAAAACATAATACAATATCCTTTTGGATAATTCAGAAATACGTCAGCATAAAAATTGTTTACAGTCAGTCAATCTATGCATCAGCCAGGCAAAACTACAACATGCAACAGAACAACCTAAACGCATACAATAAATGTGAACGCAGAAGAGACTTACATATAAGCCATCGGTGCAGTTATAGATCGTGTGATAAAGGATGTTCCATGCTTCTTTTATTAAAGGAACTGATTGCCCATAACGTCTAGCTGAATATAGATCGATCCATGTCTGAGATAGAAAGGAAACACAATTTAAAACCAACACAAAAAGCTCATATTTATTCAAGTGCCCACACAATCAAATAATGCAGACAACGAAAGGAAAGGTTTGAATAATAGTATCAAAGTAATTCTGCAGGTAGCCATTTTTGAAGAAGCATAGTCTATGTCCTAACATTTTGTTCTGCTTTTACAATGTATGTCAGTGACAGGAAAAATGTAGCACTTCACTAAAACTCTGATCTAACAAGTAAGAATGGGATCCCTTTACAATGCAGCAAGGAAATTCAGGAAAATTTCATACAGAAAATGGCAACATCTCAGGCTCTTCAAAAAGCTTTGAGCAGTAGAAAGCACATGCTATGATGCTAATACCGGGATGCTACAGCGATGTCTTAAAGTTGCATCCCGCAGAGAATTATGGGAATGAGCATGAACGGTAAGACGAGGCTGGTGGGTCTTAACTGTTCTTACATGTTTGCATTTCACATCGAAGTCACACAGATATAGTTTCAATTACCTTAACGTCGACTTTCCTTTGCTGAAATGCCATCTCAGACATGAGATCATAAACAACAGGATTCTGTTCTATGCCCTCCATAGACATTCCAACACCAACCTTCAGCAATCAACAAGAAAAATAGAAGTAAATTCTTCATATTACTTTTAAGATGCAAAAAAAGCTAAGATAATTAAGAGTAAAAACAAACAGCAGAGATTAATCCTAACAAAGCATCATTTCCACATGAAGCTACAATAAATTTGGTCACAACCTTTTCTATGGGCAATTTTAAGAACCGATTTTCAACCACAGATCAACGACCGACAAAGCAATCAGAAGGTTTATGATTTCTTAAAAACACTTCTCACTCCAATTGATGATAATCACATATCAATTAGTTCAGATGAAATTCATAATCTCATGCTCAGTGCGATCTTCCTATGAAAACGAATAGGATAAAAGTTTTGGAAACAAGAGACTTCAGTTGGTCAGCCAACAAGTCAACATGGAAAAACAGTGCAAAAACCTATTGTACAAAAGATAGCCTGAGCACTTTCCCTACACATTACATATCCAAAATGTGTGATCTTCCTCAACATTATTCTTTCTTCATATATCTTGTATGTTTTGGAAGCAAGAGACTTCAGTTTGTCAGCCAACAAGTCAAACACCGAAAAACAATGCAAAAACCTATTGACAATAGACAGCCTGAGCACTTTCCCTACACATTACATATCCAAAATGTGTGATCTTCCTCAACATTATTCTTTCTTTA